CAACAGGCGCACCTCATCACACACTCAGGACTTGTCTACTTGCGAGCAGAAAAGATCGACGCTCCTACAGGACACGACATCTATCCACTGACTGCAGACAATGGAAAATCCGTTGCTGTGATTCAACCCACCAAGAAAGCAAAGTAATGACAAGAATAAATCGTATCACTAACACACATACAGACCAAGGACTACGACAAATCCTTGGTAACTCGATGGTGACTACGCCACCAAAGGCCATGAACGACCACGCAACGCACTCTTCACCGCACGCAACAGTGGCTGTCCAACACCGCAAGAAGAACTAGATGATTCGCGACTGACCATCATCAACAGGCAAGAGCGAGAACAACTCCAAGAGAACACCAAACAATTTTCCAGGCAAGAACTACAAAGAAGACTTGAAGGTGAGGTCGCACCTACACGTCGAGCAACAACAAAGACTACACCAACAAGACAGAGCTCACAACCACATTTAATGGAGACACCGCCAACAATTCCAAAGCTACAACTACGAGCTCCAGAAAAGATATGGAGAAAAGCAGCGCCTTCTACAGACCTCGACACTGCACAACCAAAAGCAGCGGCACATAGACCACTCGTAGCGCAAGGAGACAACCGAGGCCACTGGGAAAGACGAGGCGAAGACTGGAGAAGACACCACGTGTCACAAAGAACTACATTACTCACACCCACAGATGGACATTCACGAAAACACACTCGAACGTCACAGAACCACAATCACGATGGATATTCACAACGCAAAAATGACTGGACAGTCATTGGCAACGCAGCGCTACCATCTCCATGGAAAATTCGCAACAAGGTTGACCAAAAAGAAGGACCACGAGTTGAATACCTCCAAGAGAACTACGATGAGGAGCAACAACACGAACACCACGAAGCACACAGAGCAAGAAGATTTCGACACCTCCGCAACAAATAGCAGAACACAACCTGACACACCTACCGTACAGAAATTGGAGCCCAATTTGCGTGCAAGGCAAAGGACGCCGAGACGACTGCAAGAAACAACAATCACGACGACCCATAATTCAAGTGAACTTTGCCTGCATCAAATCACAGCAAGATCTGAAGACCATACCAGTCTTAACAGCAGTTGATGTTGCTACGTAACTGTGCACGGCGGTAATGGTGCCAGACAAAGAATGGATGATGGACTACATGGTCAACAACCTACAAGCAATCATCTTTGAGCGCGGAAGAACACAAGGCGTACTACAAAGCAACACCGAGGACACACTCAACGTGCTTGTAAAAGCAACAGCGTCCAAAGTTGGCTCAATGATTGTAAGGAACTCGTAAATGGCTACGTACGTCACCCACTCCGACGGCTACACAAGCTTCGAACGCCGCTGGGGAAGAAACTACGAGCGAGCGATTTGCGAGTTTGGCGAAACGCTAGTTGACCTTCCACCGCAACACAAGAAACTTCCGGAAGCCAGCCTCCGAACGCAGGAGTGCAGTTGGCTCGGAAAAGCTTCCGAAACCGGAGAAAACTTGAGACACGCAACTCCAATCGTCAGAAAAGAGACAATCTACACAAGACGCCGGACAACAGACCCCGACGTCAACTTCACAACCGCCAGACAAACACACAGACACACACACAGACTGACAGACAGAGACAGACACACGGACACAGACGCTTAGACGCAGACACGCAGCACCCAGACCCGCAGACCCGCAGACACGCAGGCACAGTCACACAGACACACACAGACACACAGGGACAGACGCACAGAGACACACAGACACACACACAGACACACACACACACACAGACACACACACAGACACACAGACACACAGACGCGGAAAGACAAGACTGACACAGACAGACACAGACAGTCGTTTGTAGTGCCAAACGCGTATGCCAACTCGCTGTGTGAGCCGTTGTAGTGTTTCTTTGTTTTGTTTTTGGTGAACAAATCTGCGCCGTTGTGAAAAGTGTTGGTTTTGAGGATTCTAGCCATGTCGTGTTTGATGAGGTCTTGTGGGTCGAGAGTTCAGTAGGTGCTGTGAGGTCTCGTGCTGGTTTCTTGTTGCGTAGGCAATGTGTGGTGGTGCGTATGCTAACCCATCTCACCGAGTCGGACACGGACCCGATAAAGACCTACTGGAACGACAACAGCTGGGATTGGAACGACAACGGCTATGAAGATGCAGCAAACTACATTGGAGGCATCAGTCACTATGTGGGAAAAGAGCATCGCGCGCAAGATTATGGAATGACCGCAGCAACAGCTTCCAACCGTACTTACGCAAGTACAGACACACCACGACTGCGCTTCGACATAGCGGCAGCAACACTAAAGCAGAAACAGCAGAGGACTGATGACAACATGTCTCACTACATAGTGAACTCCAACTTCAAATCCTTTCACCGCCTACTGATTGACTCGGGAGCATCTACACACGTTTGCCCAAAGGACTACGGGCCGGATCTACCACTACGATCTTTGCCGAGAACCAGTTCCACAAGATTCCTGTCTACGGCGCCAAGTATGTTCGACACAAGCAGGGCAACTTCAGGATCACGATGCCCTTCTACGTTTGTGATGTGAGGTATCCTACTCTCACGCGACAACAAGCGCACTTCCTCAAACCCTCAGGCCTTTACGACTTGCGAGCAGAAAAGATCGACGCACCTACAGGACACGACATCTACCCAATGACTACACACACGGGGAATTCATTGCAGTGATTCAAGCTACAGAGAAAACATGATAACAGCAACAAGAACCACTCACGCACAGATCAAGGACCAAAGCGAACCCGAGGTGGAAACAGACCAAGGGAAACCCGACGATGACTACGCCGCCCGAGCCCACACACGACCGGCAAAGCACTCGTCGCTTCACACAACGCGGTTGCCCAACACCACTTGAACAACTGGATGATTGCCGGCTGACCATCGTCGACAGGCAAGGACAAGAGCAAGAACAACTACAAGAGAACACCAAACATCCCTTCCAAACAAGAACTACAAAGAAGACTTGAAGGTGATGACGGGAGTGGAGTAGCCAGATTCTGAAGACAAGTCCCACCTACACACCGGGTGACAACAGACTACACCACCGCGACGGAGCTCTGCGCCACAAACCGCCAGAGAGACACCACCAACAAGACCAAAACTCTCCGCCAAACAGATTTAGACCCAAAGCAGCACCTTCCACAGACGTAGGCGTCACACAACCACAAGCAACAACACACAGACTACCAACAGCGCAAGAAGACAACCAAGACTATTGTGAAAGACAAGGCGCCGCACAGGGCTCCAAACTGCATCGCTCACACCCAGAGATGGACCGCGATGAGGAACAACATCATGAACACGAAGCGCGCAAAGCAAGAGGACTACGACAGCCTCAACAACCAACTCCACAACAAATAGCAGAACTCAACCTAGCACTTACCATGCCGAAAGTGGTGTCCAATTTGCGTGCAAGGCAAAGGACGCCAAGACAATTACAGCAAGCGGCAATCGCGGCAACCCGTCGTTCAAACAGATTTTGCCTACCCAATCACAACCGGTTCGTCGGTGTGTCTTCGCGACTGTGCATGGCGTACTGGTTCTGGACAGCCATCAATGATGGACCGCGTGATGAACAACTGGCAGGCATTCATCTGCGAACGCGGAAGAACACAAGACTGTACACTCACCTGCCTGTAGCAGCAACAGTCAAGCTTCTTGGACAAACGCGCGCTGTCGCTGCACAAGTTGAGAGCAACTACAGCATGACAATGTCAACAAAGCGCTGTCTACTACCTTGTGTCGCGCGACACGCAGCAGGGACAGTCAATCGCTACGTTGCCACTCCGACGGCTACACAAGCTTCGAACGGCGACGAGGAAGAAACTACGAACACGCAAGTTGCGAGTTTGGCGAAACACAACTCTACCTTCAACCGCAACATAAGACACTTCCGATTGCAGAAGTGCAGTTGGCTCGAAAAGGAGCGAACTACGTTGCGACGGAACAAGGTGACGACTACAGCCAGACACCAAGTATGACCTAGCGGGGTCACTGGCGCGCCTTGGGCGCCACGAGGCGAAGTTTATAACCCGTCGTTCGCGACACTGCTGGACACGCAACTTGAACCGTCAGAGCAAAAGAGACGAACCACACAAGACGCCGGACAACAAACCAACGTCGCAGACGACATGGTCACAGAACCGGCAACGAAACAACAGCGTGTTACAGTCCCATGGCCACTTCACTGACCGGACAGCGCACCCAACAGCAACTACAGGGAACCATGCCTGTGCGTCCCATCAAAAACATTCAGAGGATCAGGAGATCAGGCCAACTGCTGAGGAACTACCTCGATCATCGAAGTACACTTCACGCACTTCATGAAATGTAAAGGGGCTACACTACATCATCAGCTCCACTCAGTCGACTACATCCGGGACTGTGCCTGAACAGCGCGCGCTTTTAATAGCTATGTCTTTCCACTACAGTAGAATGGTTGAACAGCCACGCCTTCACCACTACTCTCAATCTCTTTTGCGCAACAGTTATAGGATATTGCAAGACCTTACAACTGAGAGGCCGTGTGAACGCACATAGTGTACCACTTGCTTGATGTGCAATGTATACACTATCCCAGGCCTCGACTCTTCTACTAGATGCGAGCCGCCGGAGATTATAATTTGCGCACTACAGGTTTGACTGCTTGTGAGAACAACAGCGCCTGCACTTGTACTAATTGAATTTGATTTTAAGGCGAGAGGGAGAGAGAAAGGGAAGGTAGATTCAAGGAGCGATGAAGAAAATCCCAAGACAGAGGAGGAGAAAGAGAGGGGGAGAAAGGTTCAAACAGAGAAGAAAAGTTGGGAGGCAAGGAGGGTGGACCAGCAAGAGGAAGGGGAGACGTGTGAAGAAGAAGAAGAAGAAGAGGAGCCGCAGCAGAACAGGCTTGGCGCAACAAATGTGAAGAGCAACGAGGATTGCTTCGATCAGATTTTGACAGGTGCCACGCCTGCCACTGAGCCTTCGAAGGCAAGGGAGGGGTAGGCGGCGATGTCAGGCCGATCGGCGTTCTGCACGCTCCAAACCTCGCAAAGAGCGCTCGTGAGCTTGAGTTCTTGCGTCAAGTTAGATTGTCGATTGTGATTCCATCCCCCGAGGAGCACGAGCGGATGATGTTGCAGAAGGAAGAGGAGTTTGAGCTTTGCTGCGCAGAGCGTGTGAAAGCGCTTGAGGCGCGGGAAGCTGCAACGGTCGAGTCGCAGGCAGCGGTGAAGCAACATGATGCTCTTGAACAAGAGGTTCAAGAGCAGATGCGTGTGCTAGAAGAGCGCAAACGGATGATGTTGCAGAAGGAAGACGAGTTTGAGCTTTGCTGCGCAGAGCGTGTGAAAGCGCTTGAGGCTCGGGAAGCTGCAATGGTCGAGTCGCAGGCAGCGGTGAAGCAACATGATGCTCTTGAACAAGAGGTTCAAGAGCATGCGTGTGTGGAAGAGCGCAAACGGATGATGTTGCAGAAGGAAGACGAGTTTGAGCTTTGCTGCGCAGAGCGTGTGAAAGCGCTTGAGGCGCGGGAAGCTGCAATGGTCGAGTCGCAGGCAGCGGTGAAGCAACATGATGCTCTTGAACAAGAGGTTCAAGAGCAGATGCGTGTGCTGGAAGGGCGCAAACGGATGATGTTCAGAAGGAAGAGGAGTTTGAGCTTTGCTGCGCAGAGCGTGTGAACGCGCTTGAGGCGCGGGAAGCTGCAATGGTCGAGTCGCAGGCAGCGGTGAAGCAACATGATGCTCTTGAACAAGAGGTTCAAGAGCAGATGCGTGTGCTGGAAGAGCGCAAACGGATGATGTTGCAGAAGGAAGACGAGTTTGAGCTTTGCTGCGCAGAGCGTGTGAAAGCGCTTGAGGCGCGGGAAGCTGCAACGGTCGAGTCGCAGGCAGCGGTGAAGCGATGCTCTTGAACAAGAGCAAGAGCAGATGCGTGAAAGAGCAACGGATGAGAAGGAAGACGAGTTTGCTTTGCTGCGCAGAGCGTGAAAGCAAGGGAAGCTGCAACGGTCGAGTCGCAGGCAGCGGTGAAGCAACATGATGCTCTTGAACAAGAGGTTCAAGAGCAGATGCGTGTGCTGGAAGAGCGCAAACGGATGATGTTGCAGAAGGAAGAGGAGTTTGAGCTTTGCTGCGCAGAGCGTGTGAGAGCGCTTGAGGCGCGGGAAGCTGCAATGGTCGAGTCGCAGGCAGCGGTGAATCAACATGATGCTCTTGAACAAGAGGTTCAAGAGCAGATGCTGTGATGTTGGAGCAGCGCAGATGCTGGAATGTTCAACATGATGCGAACAAGAGAAGAGCAGATGAAGAGCGCAAACGGATGATGTTGCAGAAGGAAGAGGAGTTTGAGCTTTGCTGCGCAGAGCGTGTGAAAGCGCTTGAGGCGCGGGAAGCTGCAATGGTCGAGTCGCAGGCAGCGGTGAATCAACATGATGCTCTTGAACAAGAGGTTCAAGAGCAGATGCGTGTGCTGGAAGAGCGCAAACGGATGATGTTGCAGAAGGAAGAGGAGTTTGAGCTTTGCTGCGCAGAGCGTGTGAAAGCGCTTGAGGCGCGGGAAGCTGCAATGGTCGAGTCGCAGGCAGCGGTGAAGCAACATGATGCTCTTGAACAAGAGGTTCAAGAGCAGATGCGTGTGCTGGAAGAGCGCAAACGGATGATATTGCAGAAGGAAGAGGAGTTTGAGCTTTGCTGCGCAGAGCGTGTGAAAGCGCTTGAGGCGCGGGAAGCTGCAATGGTCGAGTCGCAGGCAGCGGTGAAGCAACATGATGCTCTTGAACAAGAGGTTCAAGAGCAGATGCGTGTGCTGGAAGAGCGCAAACGGATGATGTTGCAGAAGGAAGATGAGTTTGAGCTTTGCTGCGCAGAGCGGGTGAAAGCGCTTGAGGCGCGGGAAGCTGCAACGGTCGAGTCGCAGGCAGCGGTGAAGCAACATGATGCTCTTGAACAAGAGGTTCAAGAGGAGATGCGTGTGCTGGAAGAGCGCAAACGGATGATGTTGCAGAAGGAAGAGGAGTTTGAGCTTTGCTGCGCAGCGTGTGTGAAAGCGCTTGAGGCGCGGGAAGCTGCAATGGTCGAGTCGCAGGCAGCGGTGAAGCAACATGATGCTCTTGAACAAGAGGTTCAAGAGCAGATGCGTGTGCTGCAAGGGCGCAAACGGATGATGTTGCAGAAGGAAGAGGAGTTTGAGCTTTGCTGCGCAGAGCGTGTGAGAGCGCTTGAGGCGCGGGAAGCTGCAATGGTCGAGTCGCAGGCAGCGGTGAAGCAACATGGTGCTCTTGAACAAGAGGTTCAAGAGCAGATGCGTGTGCTGGAAGAGCGCAAACGGATGATGTTGCAGAAGGAAGAGGAGTTTGAGCTTTGCTGCGCAGAGCGTGTGAGAGCGCTTGAGGCGCGGGAAGCTGCAATGGTCGAGTCGCAGGCAGCGGTGAAGCAACATGATGCTCTTGAACAAGAGGTTCAAGAGCAGATGCGTGTGCTGGAAGAGCGCAAACGGATGATGTTGCAGAAGGAAGAGGAGTTTGAGCTTTGCTGCGCAGAGCGTGTGAGAGCGCTTGAGGCGCGGGAAGCTGCTGCAGTTGAGCTAGAGAGAGTTCTTCAGCAGCAACAGTCTCGCGAGGAGTTGCCTGGCAAGGATGACGCTCAACTTCAGGGGCATTTATCCCAGCAATTGAGCAACTTAGAGGGGCGGGAAGCCCGACTCTTGCAGAAAGAGGCGGAGCTGGAACAGCGCCAGGTTGAGAGTGATAGACTTTTGCAGTCGCGTGAAGTTGCAGCAGCCGAACGAGAGGCCCAATTGAGAGAGATTCAGGCTGAGGAGGAGACTCGCAGGTCTCAAGACGACACAGTTCGCAGATGCTTTCACGAGGAGCTTGAAGAGCAGAAGCAGTTGTTGGCGGAGCGCGAGCAAGCAGCTTTGGAGCAAGAGGCAGCTTTGGAGAGAAGAGAGCTGGCCCTTGAGGAGTCTCAACAGGACTCTGAGGGACCCGCCACTCGCAACGATAGCGAGGCCGGTCATGCCGGTCATGTTCTGGAGGCTGTTCAGGGTTCTAGTTGCCACGTTTCGTAGTGGCATTCTAGGAGGTCAAGCGCCTGCACGACTCGCTTACGTTGGCGACGCAGGACCTGCAGGCACAGGGCCGCAAATCTTTCTAATGGCTCATTGGTTTGCGGGTTTGCGCGCTGGCAGATCAGCTTGCGTGGCGCTTGCTGTCAACGAACATTTGGTGCCCTTTTGGGCTTCGCTTTAGGTCTTTCTTCACTGCAGATGTAACAGGTCCTAGAAAGCGCTTTTCCCGCATGTTCTAGCCCCTCAACCCCAAAGAATGTTTTTCCCACATTCTTAGTGTTGCCGCTGCGCGCCCGCGGTCACGGGGTCGTCTGTGCATTCAATCCTGGTGTCGTTTCTGCATTCATCCTGGCGTCGTCTGTGCATTCAATGCTTTTTGGTGGACTTGATGATTTAGGTGATCGGGGCTGACAGCTTGTGCTCTCTTGGCATGGTAAATATGTCCTCCCCTAAAGAACAGAAATGACCTCAACATCGCGTGCGCAAATGACTCCCAGATTGCGTGCGGAGATGACTCTGCCACCGCGTCGGCCGTCCGTCGTCCGCCGCCCGCTGCGCCCGCTCGCTCACTCACTTGCTCGCTCACTCATTCACTCACTCACTTGCTCGCTCGCTCGCTCACTCGCTCACCCACTGACTCGCTCACTCACTCACTCGCTCACTCACTCACTCACTCACTCGCTCACGCACTCGCTCGCTCGCTCACTCACCCACTCACTCACTCACTCACCCACTAACTCACGCACGCACGCACTCACGCACGCACGCACTCACTCACTCACTTGCTCGCTCACTCATTCACTCATTCAATTGCTCGCTCACTCGCTCACTCGCTCACCCACTGACTCGCTCACTCACTCCCTCACTCACTCACTCGCTCGCTCGCTCGCTCGCTCACTCCCTCGCTCACTCACTCACTCACTCACTCACTCACTCACACGCTCATGGTGTCGAGTGCGCGGCCCTCGGGCGCAATTTGAGTGAGAGGCGCCGCGCTTTGGAGATGATGCAGCGATTTCGTGGCATGCGCAGTTTTTTCCGCAGCTGGGTGCGTGTTTGCGTTGCAGGGGCAACGTATGGCAGCTGTGTAAAGGGACTGGATGTTGTCGAGCGCACGCCCGGGGGCTCAAACAGGCCTGATTTTTTTGGCGCCTCCTGCGTCACAAACCTCCAAGCAGCCAGTGTACGCTCTTGTTCATGGACGTTCATCCACAAGATGCTGACCAACCCACATGCAACCTGAGTGCGGTGATGCGATTGGCAGACTCAGGCCCTCTTGGCATTGTTCGCAACAACTTCGCGACGCTGCTTGTGTGGACGGTGTCCATCGGTGCGCAAGGGTGACTTCATCTTCATGGATTTTGAACGGCGCATATTTCAGAGTTTGGCGTGGCGCTGTTTAGATCTGGCTTTCCTACGTCCAGCACTCAAAAGAACCCACGTCAGAACGACTGTTCAAGGACGCATCTGCGAGGCCGCAGATGACACCGAATAAAACTTCCTGCATAGATGGGTGGAGTTACAGACTTTCAGTCTTTTCGTGAAGGCCTCCCTTGCTTCGATTGCGTGCGTCCTGGCCTTCCTTGCCTTGCAGGCGGTTATCGCTGCGAGCCTGGTCGATGTGTCCGGAGATGCAAACATCACAAGACTCAACATCATGTTCATCTTCACTTCTCAGTTCACTTCGTCATGGAGTCGCTCATGAAAACGTTCATTTCAAAGCAAACTCTCGAGATTTCTGTCGAGTGTGCAGCTTCCCTGAGGTCCGTCTGAGAATCGTCCCTTGTGAAGAACGCGCCGCATTCTTTAACCATATGTTGCGACTGGGTGGCCATTTCATGTTCAGGACCGGCTACGCTCATGGAAAAGACTGCCTCCGGGTAGCGCGCTTGGACACTCAGAGGACTTCGTTCGCCTCCGAGATCTTGTTGTGGTAGCGGAGCCGGTGGAGACCGGCGCAGGGAGTTTGGTTTCGCCCTTGAGGAGCTCGGCGGCAGGATCATGCCCAAGGCCGAGGGAAAGGGCAGTGAGCAGCCCTCAGAGAATGCCTACACTGGCAAGGCGGACTCACACGTCCCGGTCTTCAGCAATCTGCAGAAGGACTACCGTGAGTACCGCAAGAGGGCCGAGCTCACAAGAAGAAGATGGAGCTTGCCGGGCGTCAACAGGAAGTGGTCTTCAACCTGGTGACGCTGATGACCGGCAGAGCTTGGGATCTGGTGGACGATATGGAGATGGCCGACCTTCAGAAGGAGGACGCGTTAGACAAGGTCTTCGCCCGTTTGGACCTGCCTTTAAGCCGGACCTGATGACGGAGCTTCGAGGCTTTCTTCGTGAAGCTGCAGCGGAAAGCCGGCCCTTCAGGAGTATCAGACCGAGTTCGGTCGGGTGGAGCGCAGGCTTCGGGCGTCGCATCAGGTGGAGCTGCCGGAGAAGGTCAAAGCCTGGTGGTTCCTGCGGAGGAGTGGCGTCAGCCGGGAGCAGCGCCAGATGGTCATGACGCAGATCGGCACTGAGCGCCTTAACTTAGCTGCCGTTGAGCGCGCCATGAGTTTCATCATGGGTCAGGACTCCAAGGTGGATGCCTCCCGCGGTGGCCATGCCAACAAGCAGAAGCCGACCTGCGACATGTTCTACTCCGAGGAGGGCATGTGGCAAGAACCCTATGAGCCGGACACCGACTACACCGGAGTGCACTGGCAAGAAGACGAAGATGATGGTTCGTACTATGACATTGCCAGCGAGACCGGAGGCCACTCGGACGGTGTCTACATGGCCCAGGATGAAGGCTTTGACGAGATTTTCGACGTGGAGGAGAATGACTCTACGCAACCTATGTCGAGGCCAAGAACTGCATGAACATGATGCGGACTTCCAGAGGTTTCTACCCGGTAGTCGCCATGGTCCCGGGTTCCGGAGGCCCCTTTTCTGGAAAGTCAGGGAAGGGACGGGGAAAGTCTCCGAAGGGCGGCAGCAAGAAGGGCGGCAAGAACAAGATGCCGCCGCAGAAGGGCAGTGCGAAAAGCAGGGCAGCAGCCGCTCTTGGCCGAAATCTGTGCCTGCGATGTGGGCAAGCTGGTCACTTTGCCCGCAACTGCCCCAGCAACTTGGAAAAGAAGCGGAAGGTTGATGATAGCTCTGACGCGGCCGTGATGATGGTGGAGGAACACTACGATCTGGCCGCAGAAGATGAGAAAGACGACACCGTCAACACCGCTGTGCAGGACGGTGGAGCCGCTTCGGTTCTGGGGAGCCGCCACTACATCCGGAAGTACATGCGTTACCTCTTGGAGAACGGCTATGACGTCCGCGAGATCGACATCTTCAGATGCCAGAAAGGCTTCAGGTACGGCAACTCCAAGAAGGAGGTCACCAACTTGTGTGTGCTGCTGCCGATCCACGTGGGGGCAGGAAGATCAAGGTGCTCACCTACGTGAACAAGGGCGCGGCACCGATCCTCTTCGGCAGGCCCATCATGGAGAAATTGGGCCTTCAGCTGGGCTACAGCGCGAAGAAGATGAAGTGGCCTAATCATGAGTGGCATGATGTCCCGCTGGGTCCGAAGGGAGAGTACCTTGTCAACCTGCTGGAGGACAATTCCATGCACCGGTTGATCCACGAGGAAATCGCTTTCGAGACCCTGATCCCGGAGGACTTCATGGACCACGTGGATTTTTCGGAGAAGTTGCCGCCCAGCGTCATCTTGGGTGAGATGGAAGAGTGCTTTGAGGAGGGCTGCCTCCTGGCCGAAGATTTCGGCATGACTTTGAAAGAATTGCAGGCAGAGGTCTTTGACAAGGGGGTCGAGACTCCCCCAGCCACGCCGGAGGATGCGAAAAAGGGCAGCTCAGAAGGGGGCTGCAGCCCGGCGTGTGAGGAGGAGAAGAAGGACGACCTGCACAAAAACAGCCCCTCGAGCTCTAGCGTGATCTGGGTGGCTCATGGCACGTCCCTGCTGCGGTGCTCGCCAAAGCAGGTGAGGCCGATGGTGGAGGAGAGTGGTCATCCTCCTCAGGCTGCACTTAAGGATCTACAGGCGCTGAAAGCGAGAAGCACCACGCAGTTCAGGGACATTGCCCAGGAGCCCGACAACGAGATCCATGCCGACATTGAGGACCAGATGCACGACTACGAGCCCAGCATCATCGGCGAGGATGAGCAGATGGTTGCACCCCCGATGAGCTCGGAAATTGGGAGGCTGATCGGCGAGATCAATGAGGACGCCTCGATTGGGCAGCCTTCCTCGAGAGCCGGGCAAGATCAACCGGGGATGCTGGACTTGGAGCTCCTGCTGGAGAAGGAAAACGCAGACGGATGGGCAGCAAGACGCCAGCTACAGACAAGGGCACCGTCACCATCAGCGAGCCACCGGATGCTGCACCCAACACCTCACCTATTACAAGCACGGACCAGGTGGCAGCAGTACCGGTTCCAGATGAAGTTCCTGGGGAGCTCATGGCTGATGAGATCCTGCCAGACGAGCTGAGCTTTGATGTGCGGTTCGTCAGCGGCGGCTTGCCAACAGGCTGGACGGCTGGAAGGATGTCTGGAGCTGGATGAAGTGTGGTTGACGCGCGCGGAGACGAAGCGTCGAAGCGAGGTCTCAGAGCGCACCCTCACGGTGGAGCAGCGGCAGCAGTTCATCGAGGCCAAGGTCGAGGAGCTGACCAGCTACTTTAAGAATGCTGTGTGGACCTTTGCGGAGCCTGGCGCGCATGGAACCGGCAGAGTACTGCCCGGTGGGTGCTGACCTGGAAACGGGTTGACGAGGGAAACGACAGCAACCCCCGGTACAAGGCAAAAGCGCGTCTCGTGCTGCGAGGTTTTCAAGACCCAGACCTTGCTCACCTTGACAAGGCGGCTCCGACAGGAAGCAGGGCAGGAACGCCAAGATGATTCAGCTCATGGCATGCGTGAACCAGAACTGGCAGCTGCTGTGTGGAGATGTGCGTGCAGCATTTCTGAGCGGCGAGAAGTTTGACAGGGACATCATACAAGTCGGCCTACGGTCTGGCCGACGCACCCCTACTCTGGTGGACAGAAGCTGATCGGCGGCTCCGGGCAATTCCACTTCGGCGTCACCCTCTGGACAAGTGCGCGTACATGTACTACAACAAGGAGGGCGTACTGAAGGGCTTGGTCACCCTCCACGTCGATGACATGATGATTGGGGCGACCACAGAGACCGAGACTTCTCGGACGCCCTGGAGTGCATCAAGAAGAGCTTTGACTTCGGCAAGTGGGCCGTACTCGACGTAAAGAACCCAATGGTTTTCTGTGGCGGCCGAATCAAGGTGACCGCGCAGAAAGAGCTCACGCTGGACTACGAGGAGTTCTTCAAGAAGGTTCTGCCCATCAACATCGTCAAGAACAGGAACATGGATGAGCCCCTCAATGCGAGCGAGATCAACAAGGCTCGCGGGCTGATCGGAGCCCTGCAATCTGGCCGCTTTTCTCAATGCCTCGGTGTCCATTTTGGCGGGAGGCTTGAACAAGGGCGATGGTAAGTACCTCCAGGAACTCAACAAGATGCTCAGGTTTGCAAAGTCCAACGGCCAGGTGGCTTTGCGCATCGCGAAGATCGCCCCTAGCTTGGAGAAGGTCTGCTTTGTGTGCTTCACGACGCTGCTCTGAGCGTCAGGAGTGAGGAGGTGCTGATCGGCAAGGTGGTACCCTACACCCTGGTGTCGTGGAGGTCCTTTAAGCTTATACGGATGCGTGCCATGGCCCTGGACGAGCTCATGATCGTGAAGGTCTTCTTCGGCATGATGCTCGACCCCAGCAAGGGCATCGCTGACAGCGCAGAGCTCTACGGCAGGGGCAAGTGTGCCATCGTGACCGACGCGAAGGCCCTGTATGACGCGGTGAAGCGCGAGAACATATCCAGCCTGGACAAGCGGGCTGCGCTGGAAATCCTGTGCGTGAAGGACGCCATCAATTCATTGAAGGCGGAGTGGAGGTGCGTCAGCAGCGAAAGGCAAATGGCCGATGGGCTGACCAAGCTCGCTGCGCGACAGGATATGGTAGATGTCATGTCGTATGGGATGGTGCAGCTGGTGCACGACCCGGAGTTCACCGCGGCAAAGAAAAAGACGCACAAGGAGATCGAGAAGTCCCGGGAGAGCATGACGGGAACGATCAGGAAGAAGAACAACGGAAAGGGGGCCAAGTCAGGGTCCAAGGTTGCGGATGCGATCATGGTGGCGATGGCGGCGGGCAGTGCGACAGGAGCAAATGCAGAGAGGCCAGCAATGGTGGACTCGGCTGGCGGTTTTGAGTTTGAGGTGATGATGATGATCATCATCTTCATGGTGGCAGCACTGGCATTCATGGTGGGCCAGCGACAAGATCAAGCATGTCGAGGAGGTGGCGAAGCTGGCCCGCGCGGACACGGAGCATTGGGAGAACGCAGCAAGCTTGCACCAGATGAGGTCTCGTAGATTTTTCATGGCCAGGCGAGGTGCGAGAATCCACACATGCCAGGAGTGCCAGTACTTGCGGAACAGCCAGACAGAGCTGTATCTGTGTGAATGGTCCGAAGAGCACCAGTAGCTTGGTTTGTTTTTCCGCGATGTGAAGAACGCGCCGCATTCTTTAACCATATGTTGCGACTGGGTGGCCATTTCATGTTCAGGAGTGGAGGGCCACCTAGGTACCTTAGCCACACCGGCTACGCTCATGGAAAAGACTGCCTCCGGGTAGCGCTCAGGGGACTTCGTTCGCCCCCGAGATCTTGTTGCCCCTCAAATATGGATTCAAGATCGCTGCAAACTTTGTTGCGCGCTCGGTTGCCTCCAAGACCCACGGCATGTGCGATCGCAAGCTTGCACCCTTAGATGCAAAGGCAAAATCACAGCAGCTTCCCAAATCGGCTATGTGGTAGCTTCCGGCGAAAGACACATGCTGTTGAACAATGGTTGCCTACTTATCACAGCGACTGGCATTACCCTGTGTGGTCAACATCGTTCGGAACCTCCGAACATTTCGGTTTCAAGAGCCCAGACACGCCAACGCGATGCAGATCATGGCTTGGGCAGCGCGTACTCTGATCCATGAGTTGCCAATACACAATGCGTACTGGTGATTGCTTCCATTCAGCAAGATGCCACAAGAAGATTCCGTTTCCAGGAAGAGTCTCATTTGACTTTCCAGCTCTGCTTACTCTTCGCCGCATTGGACAGTCAATGTCAATGTCTTTTCGTATTTCAACTCGCTGCGCAGCCAAGTTTGCAACTTTCACCCCAAGGTTCCATTTTTAGCTGGCTGTGGTCCGAGTGATTGAACCACTCCTTGGCAATGCCCCATGAGTGGAAAGAAATTTGGGTTTTGTTTTGTTTGTGCTTGGTTCCAGACATCCACTCATGCGCGATTTTGATGCCATTGCCGGAAGCCTGATGGTTGGATACCGAGACCCGCAATAGAAAATGAGTATTCGCAGCTAAGAGCTTTGCCTTTACATGTTTTTAATTGGAAATCAAGCTCTACGTTGTACATTTAGCATATCTGGTCCTTTTTCAACCATCATTTCTTGCATCAGAAAAGATCTACAGGGCCTCTTGACGTTCACTGGATTGAGGCCCTGTTCAATCCCCAAAGAACCAATAGACAGAGAGGCAGCCCAAAGAAAAAGAATCTTAGGCCTGGGCGACTGCGCAGAATCCTTAGAGCCTTGCAAGGCGAGCCAGGGCGAAGCGGACCGGGCGAGGGCGGCGGCACAGGACTTCGCGGCCAAGGACGGGGCTCGAAACAAGGTCCTGTGTTGGTGGCGTTTTGTCGCAAAATTGGTGAGGCTGAAGTAGCCCTTCGGCTCAAGGCAAACAAGCGTACGTGTGCGCCTGTCGCCCCTTCTGAAAAGGCGACTCGCGCCTTATCGGCCGTGCCGCTGGAGAATCCAGGTTGAGCTGCGCGCGGTTTTCGTAGTTCCCGGGCGGGCTAGCTCGGGCAAGGCGTTGCGGCGATCCGTGAGCACTCGCAGCTTATTTGTCCCCTGCCAGCTGCTGGCCGTGGCGGTTGGAATCCACTCTTGCTCGCTTGGACTCCACTTTTGTCGTGTTTGCTCTTTGGGTCACGCGAGCGGAGCTACAAACATTGTTTGCGCGGGCAACCGGAAAATCCAAAACGCACACGCACACACACACACGCACGCAACCCGCACAAATATTATGAACAGTGTAGCTCGAATTGTTGTTATCCAGAGTCCACCTTGTCTTTTCCAGTAGTCTTGGTTGTCTTCTTGCGCTGTTGGTAGTCTGTGTGTTGTTGCTTGTGGTTGTGTGACGTCTACGTCTGTGGAAGGTGCTGCTTTGGGTCTAAATCTGTTTGGCGGAGAGTTTTGGTCTTGTTGGTGGTGTCTCTCTGGCGGTTTGTGGCGCAGAGCTCCGTCGCGGTGGTGTAGTCTTTTGTCACCCGGTGTGGACTTGTCTTCAGAATCTGGCTACTCCACTCCCTTCAAGTCTTCTTTGTAGTTCTTGGTTGGAAGGATGTTTGGTGTTCTCTTGTAGTTGTTCTTGCTCTTGTCCTTGCCTGTCGACGATGGTCAGCCGGCAATCATCCAGTTGTTCTGTGGGTACTGGGCAACAGCTGTTGTGTGAGGTGAAGAGTGTTTTGCGTGGTTGTTTGTGGACTCGAATAGCGTAGTCACCATCGAGTTTCCAGTAGCCAGTGTTTCCACCAAGGATTCGTCTTAGCCTTTGGTCTGTGTGTGTGAGTGGTGCAGTTTGGTCTTGTTGTTGTCGTGTTTCCTCTGCAGGTTGAATCGCTTCAAAGGACTTTCCATTGTCTTTCGATCTTTTCTGCTCGTAGGAACAAAGTCCTGAGTGTCTGATTAAGTGTGCTTGTTGTTGTCCGCGTGTGACGGTGCAGTGTCGTGGATTGAAGTCGAGTCTATATTCTTTATCAAGTAGACGCACTGCAACACATGATCCTGAAGTCGTCCTGCCTGCAAGGAACATACTTGATGCCGTAGACAGGAATCTTCTTGTTGGTCACGGTCTAGAGTTGCGGAACTATCAAACTGGTTCTCCACAAGGTGGTAGTGGAAGATCCGCTGCGTAGTCCTTCAGGCACACGTGTGTAGATGCTCCTGAGTCAACCAGTAGGTAGTAGGTGATGATAGGATTTCGTGATGTTGTCATCAACTTTCGGTTGTTTCTGCTTCTGTGTTTTGTGATACTGCTGCTATGTCGAGGTGCAAGCTTGTTGTGTCCTCTTGTAAGTACTGTAGGAAGTTATTGCCGTGGTTATTCCATGATGTTGTGTGTGTCGTTTTCTTGCCAAGTAGTGATTCGGGCTTGTTCTTGCAGGGTAGTGGCTTTGTTTGTTTGATATGTCCAATTGTGCGTTGTGACTTGTTGATGCCTCCAATGAGTTTGCTGCATCTTCATAGCCGTTGTCGTTCCATTCCCAGTTGTTGTCGCGGTCGTAGTCGTTCCAACTCTAATCCATGTAGTTCACATCGCGTCCATGTCCTTCTTCTCCTTCAGAGTCCAATCCCAAGTCGTTTATGTCGTGAGGTAGTTCCTCGTTGTCCTCTCCTTGTTCTTGCTACGGGTGTAGTTCATCTTCTGCTATGTGCCATAGGACTCGGCAGTCTTGCGCCCAGTGTTCCCCCTTCGACTTGCCGTAGCTTCCTTGGCTTGCGCAGCCTCCCTTGCGCTTTCCTTTTCTCCAAATGTCAACGCCCTTGGGGCAGGTCCTTTGTAGCTTGTGCCAGTTGCCAAAGTCGCTCCCGAGGATGACCGCTCTGTGAAGATGTTGCTGTAGTGCTCTTTTGGTCTTACAATCTTCACTCCATCTGGTAGGGATTGATGTCGCACTCCCATGGGAATTGTTCTTCAATCAGTGCTTGGTTGAATGTTGGTTCCAGTAGTTTGGCGAGGTAGCCAACGCTTCGTGTTCCCACAGGTCGTAGTGTTTCATATCCGTTTGCATTGTAGCGATTGTGTCGTACTACTTTAGCTGCTGCTGCTTGACGTATGTTGATGAGAATGTAGTGTAGGTCTCTGGCGAGGCCACTGTTTTTATTGCTGGTGTAGCGTCGCGTATGTGTGTGTGTGCTTTGATGTCTGCGTCTTCAATTTGTGGTGTAGCTGCTTGTGCTAGTTGTAGCGCCAGGTCGATGTCTCGTTCTGTAGTCGTGGCTCCTGCTGCTTCTTACAATGTCGGCCCATTGTCTGTTCCTTTAGCGCGCTGAGCCGCTGCCGGTCCTCCTGACATGTCGTAGTAGTTTGGCGTGTGGTTGCCTTGCAGTTGTTGCTGTGCTTCCTACTGTACACTGGAGCTGCCCTAAGTGTAGGATCTCAGTTCCGCTACGAGGTTACCAGCATCAAACTGTGAATTACTCCAATCGCAAGTGCTGTAGTGTTGTTATCACAAACAGTCAAACCTCTAGTCTGCGCAACACGTGTTTTTTGCTGTGGGCTCTCATGTAGTGAAAGAGCAAGCTCAAGGCCTTCGGTAGTGACGCGGTAGTGAACAGCGTGCGAAACTGACAAGCAGTGCAACATGTACTTTGACAAGGAACCTCAAGTAAAGCGCACAATGCTCAGCGGCGATTCGAGCAAGTGCTCAGGCAGTTCCTTGCAATTTCAAGTGTGTCTCAAGCAAGAAGTTCAACATTCAGAAGCCGCACCGTGGCATACTTGAACTGCGCGCAACACAAAACTACTGGACTGAAACGAGCTTCCCCCCCAAGCTGCTTCCGAATAATCTTAGTCATTTAAAAGCGAAAAGTTGAGTTTACTTTACTACGGTCAGTAAATGTGGCTTAGCAAAGAGTATTTGTTCTAGCACTTTAAGCAGAAAGGATGAAGAGCCGAGCCACGCTTCGCGAGATGATCAAGGACGTATCAAGAAGAAGATGGTCGAACTGAACATCGCGGTGTGGCAAGGCAACGCACGATGGTCTGCGCGCGAAGAGGTGACTATGCAACGGCGGACGGCCAAGACAATGGCTAGGCTCGAGGACGAGGACATGCCAGCCGAACCTCGTAAGAAGTGCAAGCGTAACCCGAAGGGCAAGTTCATGAGGTGCAACAGCTTGATGCTGACGAGGAGGGTTTCATGATTTCAATGAGTGGTTCTGGAGTCGCGGGGTATTGGCTCCGTGTGTGCAAAACCCGAAGAACATATTATGCTGTTGAGAAACATGAAGAAGTTTGGAGATATGAAAATCTGAAAAATATGAAAGTATGCAAACAGCCTGGGGTGGGCGTTTGCAGCCAACCGCGTTTGCCCCTTTTGCACCATTCCGACCTTGAATCAAGAGAAAACGAATAAAACAAAAACCAACAATCTGGCGGTGGACATTCTTGGCGCCTGGCCTATTTACAAGTCTGAAGCTAACTGAGGAACCGATTGAAATAAAAACAGAAAATGACCAGGCGGGGAACATTTTGATTTTTTTTACTCGATTTCTCGCTCTTCGTTTTTCTACTGCCACCCACACCGGTACTGATATATTTTGTTTGGTTTTGTTTGATTTCTCGAGTTTTTTTCTGTCTTCCATTACCACCCATGTTTGTACTGACTGCTGGGGTGTTTCTGTTTTTGCCGAAAGCGTTAGCGAAGTCCCACAAGTAGTTGCTCCTCCTGGAGTTCTGGAAGACGCACTTGCCTGAAAGCAGGGGCTTCGTGGCCAGAGCCACAAACGAAAGGCGCGTGCAGGTCGCCTTGTGCAACAACCTGAGTTATGGAATTGGAAACGCGAAATGCAATTTGCAGAATTTTCATTTGGGTTGTGTGTGCGTGTGTGACTAAAAAGTGCGTTTTGGATATTCCGGTTGTGCGGTTATGCATGCAAAGAGTGTTTGAAGCGTCACTTGCGTGGCCCAACGTATAGCAAAATTGAAGCCCAAAAACACAAACATATGATCGCGCCAAAAGGCTTTGCGACGCGGGCTTCCGTCGCTCGCAGGCCGAGAGGCTCGCCCTTCACAAGCGCCTCGTTTTGGCTTCGCGGCTCGGAGTTAACAGAGCCGTCGCGCAGTCCGTCCCTCTCCGAGCTCGCGGTCGGAGAAAATGAAAAGATGAGAGAAAAGGAAAAG